CTTCCACTTGTCTTTAATCTCTTCTTGATTCATCTTTGATCATTTTTACATGCAGCACATCCCTTGTCAATCTCTCTTTGTTTAGCAATCCTGTACACTTCCTTCTGCCTCTTTTGTTTCTAGCCTTTGACACAAATCAGTCATTGCAGCATTTTTGGCCTTAGCAATGGTCCTCGTTGCCTTCTTCCTGTCTACTTTGTATGCTTCAGAGACCAAAATGTCCCCTGTATCTTTTCACTTCTTACATTTCTCTTTTTCCCTTACTTTTTCCTGAACCTCCTCATTCCACCACTGCGTTTCCTTCCTGATGGGCATATTTCCAGATGACCCTTTCCAGATTTCTTTTCTCACTCTCCTGATCTTACCCACTGCCTTTTGTCACCAACTTCAGGGTCTTCTATTTTTCAACCTGTATTTCTTCCTACACTCTTGCTCTGAAGCCTCTCATTTCCTTGTCCTGCTGCAGCCTTCCCCATTTTAATTTTCTGAACTCCTTGATATTGTGTATGTCTCACTCTTTTCACCCTCATGTCCATGACTACCATTCTATGCTGTGTGGTAACTCCTTCTCCTGGGATCACCTTTCAGTCTTTCACTTCTTTTCAATCCTGTTTCCTCACTAGCAGATAATCCACTTTTGTTTCTCTACCTGCACACTTGTACATGATCAGATGTTCTTCTCATTTTTGGAAAAAATGTATTTGAAATCACAAGATCGTAAGATACTGCAATGTCTACTATCCTTTCCTCCTCTGGCTTCAAATCTCTAAATCCATGTCCTCCATGGATCCTCTCTGTTATCTCTACTTCATTCAATGTGTCCATTGAGGTCTCCCCCTACAATGACTACTTCACTGCCTGGCAACTGTTGCATCACTTCATCCAACTTTTGGGTCATACATGCTCATTAGTTGGCCTCCATTGTCCAGTTTTAATCTCATGACCCTGTCACAAAGTAGAAGGAATTTCTATCAAGCTCCAAAGACTGATTTCTAATTTAACTGATTTCTATCCAACATTCCAAATCCCTTTTCTTTCCTATATCAAATTCGTCATATATGTAACATTGTTAAGTATAAAGCTCTTACATTTTCTTTCTAAATTTGCAGTAGCTGTGGTTTTGCTGTATTTATATTTTTTTATTATTATTTAATTTAGGACTTTCTGTGGCTTAGTCTCTTTAGTTTTCTTTTTGTTAAAAGAATAGTCTAACCCTGGATTTATCTACTTTTCTGACAAAGTAACAAACTCTAACAGCCAAAATATGCCAGCAGTGATTAGCATTGTTAGGCATGGTTCCAAAATATATACATTTTGAAAAGTTCATCACAGTTGCCCTGTATAATGGTAGTGGATCCTATGAAATGCCACACTCCTATTTTAATCATCACAGTCTCTACATACTATAATTATGGAGTCTTTTGGCAACGCTAATTGGGGATGATCAAAATTTGGCTGGAAACTTGAGATCCTGACAAAATATTTTATTTTTATTTTTGAGAAGTCCATTTTTCTCAAAATATTTTGACCTTTCATTACAAAAATTAAAATTAAAAAAAAAATCTGTTTGAAGACAAACCTTTGATTTGAATCTGTGTAAAAATATCAAAGATTTTTCATTCTGACATGAATGAAAATGTTTGTTTCATAAATTTTCAGAAGAGGAAGAAATTAATTCCCATAAGCTCTAACAGTTTTCTATTGGACAGGAAGTTTTATTGATTAGAATTTTGAGACATTTTTTGCGGGGGAGGGTTTAATATAAAGGGATGTTATCTGTTTACTCTAACCCTGGTTCAGCAGGGTCCTAGCCTATCCATTGCGAATCCCACTGGTTATTATTTGCATCACCCATAAACCTGTACTACGTATCCTGTTAAATCTGTCTGTCTGTCTCTCTCTCTCTCTTTCTTTCTCTCTCTCTCTCTCTCTCTCTCTCTTGTTTCAATAAAAATCACAAAAAGCTTTGCTTGAAGAGGGTTTTAGAAATTTTCTTTGAGAACCAATTTTCTGTTTTCTTTTCCAAAGATAATTGCTACTATATGTCCTCATTCTCTCTCTTACACACCCACACTTTCCATGCTCCTCTTGTCTTCTCCATAGTCATTTATGGCCACTCTGAGATTTGTGCCTCCTTCCTAGTTTTTATGGTAATAGTGCCATAGACTGTCAAATTGCTGATTATGTTTTAGCTAATAGATCCTAGTTTTTTGCTTTAGGCTATACAGGCTATTTAATTGAAAACATTAATAAATATACTTAAGTTGAACAAAACTAACTGGCCAAAGATGCTGAAAATAGATGCAGCCATGAGCCATGTGGACTTCAAGGGTTATATGTAATATGCTGATATCATTTTTTGTAGCAATAATCTGTTTTCCATTTCTAAACCCTCCAATTCTTATTTTGCAGTCAGCATGTCAAAAGCCATTCATGAGAAACACACTTTCAGCATCATTACTATAAACATTGTTAAACTGGGTGTAAACATTTTATAAGCAACACGTTCACTTTTTTTTTAACAGAAATTATTTCACAGCTGCCTGCTTATTGGGTCACAAGTTAATAATGTATCTGCCTAGGAATGAAATCGGGCTGTTACTGGTTGTCTCATCATAAATTAGGCTACTGTTGATTTTTTTCATCTCTAGTGGTGGCTGCTGTAAATTCTTTTTCATCATTATTAGTCTTTCTTTTTACCTTTTTTATCCTGTATCTTGTATCATCAGCCTCCCTCTTCTATGGGAGATTTCACAGAAATCCTATACCAAGGATGTATAGTGTATAAGAAACAGGTTTTTTCAAAGAGGAGGAGTCATGTTCCTAAATTAACCACATTTCCCACTGGAGTCAATGGGAAATAGTATTCCCTATATTCTTGATAACTTTTAAAAGAAAACTGCAGGGAAATGGTCATAGTCCATAGAACCCATGGGCCACTAAGGATAAGATACATGTGTGGATGGCGCTATATTTTGAGGTTCACAGCCACTTTTTCTTATGCTATATTGAAATGAAAGAAATCAAAGCCTGTATGCCTCACCTTTTCTTGACTAAGAAACCCAGGTGAAAAGCTAGTTAGATACAGTATCCAAATTCCAGAAAGTTCTTAGTGACCAGGGTGGTTAGTATTTGTATACAGAGATGCTAGAGGAAATGGCACCAAGTAGCAGCATCCTCATAAAGTCATGACAGATTTTCAGTGAGATGACCTTCTTGGTTTTGACTGTCCTGTAGCATGCATCTCCACAGGCTCCTAACTCCAAGTCAGTAGTGTCAGATGGTTGCATCTCTATACATCAGAAATGCCCTCTAGCTGTGCTCTGCAGCACATTCAGTAATTGTGCTGTGAGGTTACTACAACAATGTCTGAATGGTTGTTTTTCTTTGGTGTTAATATTTCTTGGCATTAAGATATCACAGAGCATTTTATAAACTATAATTTGAGCCTCGCAACACTATAAAGTAGATGGGTCTTATTATTTTGAGGAAAGTGAAATTTGTGTGCATCTCGGGGTATGCTAGGTTTGAACTTGTTACTAACCTTGTGCTTGAGAGGGCCTGTATGTCCTCTCACCAAAGAGGGGGTGAAATGCCACTCCAGTGCTTGTTCCTGATGCTCTAGTACTGAGAATTGTGAGGTTCATGTCTGACTGGAAGCTATTTAGTGATCCCAGTGGACTTAATGTATCTCCCTTTTTACCTTGTCTCTGATTTGGAAATAGTGCAGGCTTTTCTCTCCTCTTTCCCAACAAGAATACTCAATTTACATTTCCCTTAGAACTCCCCCCCCCCCCCGCATTCAGTCTGGTTCCGTTTCCCCCATCTTTCTGCAGTTGAATTTTCACCCCTGCCCAACCTTGCATAGATGGGGGAGGGAAACCCTTAAATTTGGTCTTTATAGCCAAGTGCTCCCAGTCCTAAGATGAGACAGATAAATGTGGTATTATCTGTAAATGATCCTAGGATAATGGACATACATATAGGA